CGTCATTATATTGTATACCTAAAATGTACCAATGATTAGAATGAATAATCGATAATGCAAAAGAGGAAGAAAAGGTCCAAAGGGGTAGGGGTAGTGGGAGGGGCAGGGGAAAGGAAAGAAGGGAAAGAAAAAATGATGAGAAATAGAAAAAATGGAAATAAAGTCTTTGTAAATAGGGAAGGGTGGAAGGGGTGAAGGGAGGGCTAGGAATGAGGAAAAAAATAAGAACCAAGATGCATTATGTAAAGGTACAATTCCCAATGAGAAATGTAATTGTGTTGTATACCTAAAATGTACCAATAAAAGAATTTAATAAAGTGCAAAAAAAAAATTTTTTTAAAAGATAGGGTCTTGTTAAGTCACTAAATTGCCCAGACTGGGCTCAAACTTGCAATACTCCTTTGGGTGAGGGAAAGAGGAGATCATTTTCTTTTCTACTTTTTCCTCAAATGGATTGGAAAATATGTAAAAAATTTCCATGTAATTTCCCATTATAATTACCCTTAAGTTTTGAAGGAATACATTGTCATGTAAATATTACCACCTTGGCCCAGAGTATGTCCAACAGTATCAGGAGCTATATAGTCTTCTCCACTAGCCTACACCCATTCTTACTCCAACACATATCCTACCAACTAAGGGTATCATCTAAGAGTCCAGGCCTAGATGATTGAGCTGTTTGATTTAATGAATCAACAATTATGTAGCCTTAACTATTTTGCTTAACTGGTGTTCTTCACCACTATTTCCTCTATCCATTCTTGGATATGTTTTGGATGTGGTATCTTCATCCTTGGATATGTTTTGCAGAAACAATGTTTACAATACTAATTTAACAAAGAAAAGTGGAGAAATGTATCTATGATAGTTTTCAAATCAAAATCAGTATGAAAGATTCACAAATACGAAGTGCTAAAGTCCATGAAAAAAATAGATTTCTGTAAAATAAGAGGCTCAGGAACATTAGGCACCAAATACTTTCTTTTCCCAGACAATGTTACCTTGGTAATGTCTTTAAGTTAAGAATCAAGAAATCCTGGTTCCTATTAATGGAACCATATTGATTACATTATTTCTGAATGGTGATTGCAGCCCTAAGGATAAAAGGGCAAAAGCTTAGTGAGACTGAATTTTACTACACCCAACTGAACCTTGCTCTGCCCGAGCTTCATCTCCAGTAGCTACACATCCCACTAAGAACTTGATGGCCATGAAAAGAGGTGCTAAATAAGCTGCGCTGGCTCTGTTCTGTGTAACCACCTTGTTTGTGGTAATTTATAGCCTTAGTTAATTAAATCAGATTTTTTAAATCTTTGCATGGGCAAGGAATGAAAGGATTGTTTTCCACAACCCACAATCCACCTGAAATACCTCAAGTAGAACATTTAAAAACAATATTTTATTTTGCCTTCCCACTTGAATGTTTCTTTGATAAGGTATAGTATTCTAATTAAAAAATCAATTTCCATTCTATCTTTAAAAGTGTTGTTTAATTGCCTTCAAAGATTGTGTTACTATAAGAGATCTGATTATTTCTTTGGAGACAACTTTTTTTTTCCTATCTGAAAGCTTTTTTGTATTTTTCACTATCTTTTTCTTCTCAAATGTCACCATAATGTATTTCGGTGTAGGCCTTCTATATTTTATTCTACTTGCACTTAATAGATTTTTCCAATCTGAAGCCTTTTGTTTTTTCTAGCTCTGGATAAGTTTGATTTTTTTTCTTTCCTCTCTTCCATTTTCTTGATTCTAGATGGACTTTCTATTAGATACTAAATTCCTGAATCTATATTCCATGTGCCTTTTTTCATCAACATTTCTAATTCTTTGATCTTTCCTCTAAGTTCTCAAAGAATTTCACAGGTTGCTCTTGCAACTAATTTGCTCTTGGCTGTATCATTCTGTTACTTAGTTCAAATACTGAGTTCTTTGTATTAATCATATTTTTTAACTTCTAAGATCTTTATTTCATAGTCAAGGATGTAACAGCTATAAGAATAAATCTGTTTCAAATCCTTCTCTGCTTGCTATGTTAACTGATTTCTCAATATTTTATTTCTCCAGTTTGGTACCTCTTTATTCATGATATTTTCTCCATATCTTTCATAAAAGATAGTAGTAGTCTGACCACTTTGTACTTGAAAAATTCTATACTTGCATTTATTTTTACTGTGATCTGACTCTAGTAGATATAAAGGAGGACGAGGACATATAGCACCTATAAAAGCCCCCCACTCCTTCTAGAAGTCACTACAAGATATCTGGAGAAAAGACTAGCCTTTTTAGCCCCAGTAGCCACCTGTACAACTTTATTCAAGAAGCTAATGCCAATAGACTGTATGTTACGTCAATTACATCTTGATAAAGCATTTTATATTAAAGCTGATGCCAACCAGGTGTGGTAGCATATGACTATAATCTCAGGAGGCTATGGCAGAAGGCATATGAGGTCAAGGCCACCCAGAGCTATATAAAGAGTTCAAGGCGGGCCAGGGATTTAGCTCAGTGGTTTCGCTGCCTGCTGTGCAAGCGCAAGGACCCAAGTTCGATCCCCGGTACCAAAAAAAAAAAAAAGAGTTCAAGGCTAGCCTGGATTACATAGAGAGACCCTTTCTCAAATAACTAAAATAATAATTAAAATAAAATATTTTAAATCAATGCCACAAATTGATATGAAAAGGATATGACATGCTAAAGAGCTAAGCATTTTTTTAAAATTCCCCAGAAGATTAACCCAGACCCCTTTCCCATTCCTTTTATATGCTGAAACTGAGCCTGGAGTTACCCACATCCTCAGTACCCTTCTATTATGACTACAAAATTATGTTCTCAGATTTATTTGAAGGAGTAACGTATGTACTCAGTCTACCTGGTTGATCTAATCTCCCTGAGTACAATAAATCTGTTAAGAGAAAACCTAAAGTATAAGTTGGATAAACCTCAGACATGGAGAGGTCAGAAGTAATAGTACATTCTACATGGTTCCATTTATATTAAAGTTCAAATAGGCAAAATGGATGTATCCTGTTAGAAGCCAGGAGAGGAATTATTTTTAGGGGGCTGACTGGACAAGGGCACAAGTTCTTCTTGGATCTTAGTACTGTTTCGTTTCTTCCTCTGGGAGCTGGTTACATAGGTATACTTTGTGAATACAGAAGTCTTAGCAGGCCAAAAGCTGGTTCATTGCAGAGATCAAGAGAAGCCCAGGGCTGGTGATTTAGCTCAGTGGTTCCAGCACCTGCCTCATAAGCACAAGGACCCAAGTTTGATCCCCAGTACCAAGAAGAAAAAAAAAAGAGAGAAGCCCTGCCTTTGTCAATTTTGGAAGAAGTTTCTGAGAAGTGCCTTTCACAGCCTTTCAGGGATAGAAGAATAGAGAATGGATTCGAGTCAGTCAAGAGTTAATGGGAATCAGATGAATGGATGAACCTCTTTTGATCTAGGTTGGAAAATCCAGGACTTGCAACTTAGAAGAGTGAAAACAGTAGTAGATAGGCTCTTGAAAAGACAACATTTATTTAAAGAGAAAACTGAGACTGTCGTGGGATCATGAAGTCTGGAAAATTTCCACCAAGGACACATTTAATCTGAAACTTGACAGACGAATAAGAGTTAAAAGTATCTAAGCCAGTGTCAGGGATTTAGCTCAGTGGCACTGTTCCTGCCTGGCAAGCATGAGGTCCTGGGTTCGAACCCCAGTACCAAAAAAAAAAAAGTACCTAAGCCAAAATAGTATTCTAGAGATAGTATCCAATGTTAAGCCTGGAGGAAATCTGAAAAACTGGTAGGATAGGGAAATGAAAATATGTGTGGTTAGAAATAATAAAACCATAGTTAGAAGGTAAAGCTTAACTGTGTGGAAATACGTGGTCCACGTAAAATGTAAAATCCTTAAGACATTGTAAGATGTCAAAGATGACTCCTATGTTTATTTCTAGCATAGGCAGCTAAAATAGGAACCACACTGCCTTACTTTTGAGCTTGGAGGCAAACATGATCCACTTCTCATTACATTTATTTTCCTAAATTTAAATTTCTTGGGTTATCTTCCCAGAATCAGATCCTATCACTTCCCTGTTTAAAATGCTTTAATGGAATCCCTGTACTTACAAGAGCATTTTTTTTTTTGTACCGGGGATCGAACTTGGGTCCTTGCGCTTGCACAGCAGGCGATGAAACCAAGAGCATTTTGAACATCCTTAACAGGGACAGTAAGGCCACGCATGATTTGGCTCTCACCTGCCCCATCATCACTTCACATTACTTTCCACCTCACCCCAAATCCTGAAGGTTACATATCTTCCATCAATTCTGTAAAGTCAATATAATAGCCACCTCAGGATATCATCTGTGATATTTCTTTTGCTAAAATTTATTTTCTTTTCTCAAACTGCATCTCTTTATTGTTGAGATTCAAACTTTTTTTTTGACAGAGTCTCACCACGTAGTTCAGGCTGTCCTCAACCTCACAATCCTCTTGCCTTAGCCTCCCAAGTGCTGGGCTTACAGGCATGCACCACCATGCTAGCTTGAATTTAAATATCATGTTAGCAAATTATCTTCAATAACTCTTCCCTCTCCCAACTTCTTAGGTCTCCTGGATATTCTTCATATGTTATTCATGATTATATATTTAAGGTTATATATTTGTTTCTCTCCCCTTTAGTGAGAGCACTTTAATTTTTTGTAGTAATCTAAGGCTAGTAAGAAGTAAGTTTTTGGCTGGGGGTGTATGTTGCTCAGTGGTTCCACACCTGCCTGACAAGTGCAAGGTCCTGAGTTCTATCCCTGGTACCGCAAAAGAAAAAAAAAAAGAATTAAGTTTTATAAATCAAGTACTGTTTTAAGTTGAATCTATTTATAATTTATACACATGTCCACAAACATATACATAGGACATACTTGAGTAGGTTCCATCAGTGAAGAAAATCACCTCTACAATTTCATATGCATGACATCAGCCTTCAATATATGCAGCTTTTTTATTCCTTTGTCCCCACCACACCTTTACTCAACATCATTGAGACTTCCACTGCATTCCCCTCCATGAGGACATTGGTATTTTTCCTTGTAACATAGCTATCCTTTCCATTTACAATTTAAGTGCTCTGTTGCCAATACCTTTACATTCTTTGCTTCTTTATCTTTTATTCATATGCCTTCCAAAACAAAACCTTTGTATCAGTCACTGTTAGTCTCTTGATTTTGGTGCAGGTAACAGCTGTAGATAGAAATCACAGAACCTATTAGTGTTATTAGAAATCCATTTCCTCCAAACTCATCATCCTGCAGTATTTTTAATTCCTTGCTTTTTTTCCTTTCCCTTTTATGGTGATGGTTATTTAAAATACCATGGTATTAGTGTGTTTTCCATTACTATAATGAAATACCTGAGGCAGGGAAACTTGAAAATAAGTTTATTTGGCTCACAGTTTTGAAGGCATGGGGCTAACTCTGGTGAGGGCCTCCCTGGCTGCATCACTTCAAGAGGATGGCATGGTGGGAATGTGTGCCAAGAGGGAGAGCCCACATGGCTAGACACAAATTGAAGAAGGCTCTTTTATAACAAGTCAGTCTTTCTCAAGAGAACTCAGGGTCTCACAACAATTACTTTATTCTTCTAAGCACAGTGCCTCCAATGACCTAACCAACTAGGACCTACCTCTTTAAGGTCCCACCATCTCTCACATTGCCATGCCAGGGACCAAGCCTCCAACACATGAATGTTATAGTTTATATCTGGATGTGCCCCCAAAGCCTTCTGAACTCAAAGGTGAGGCTTGTGAAAGGTGATGGGTTATGGGAGTTCTACAGCTGGCATGGTATTGGGAGGTCCGGTCCTGGCCCAAAGATATAAGTTATTGCAGGTGTGCATGGTAGGATGTATCTCCCTTTCTGGTTTCTCCTTTCTTTCTCTGCTTCCAGGATGCCATGGAATGAGCAGCTTTTCCTCTCCCATGCCATCCTACTTTGGAGCCAGTGGACTATGGACTGACTCTACAAACTGTGAACCAAAATAAACCTCTCCCCCTATAATTTGTGTGTGTTGGGTATTGTGTCCCAGTGATGAGAAAAGTGATTAAAATGGGATAAATCACATCCAAACCACAGCACCTATCTTCTTGACTTCTCATTCTACAAACCCTCTACTCAATCTTGGCAAACTTCCTAATCTCACCTTCTAGTCATAAAGTTGAAACTGTTCCTGTTGTTATTGCCCTTCTTTCTACAAATGTTAAATCCCACCTACCTTTCCTCCAATTGCAACAGAATCCTGATTATCAAAGGCCAAGTCTTTGCCTGGGCTTAGGATCCTACCTCCTTTCTATTCATTGGACACAAATGTCCAGCGATTGTCATTGAGTTCTTTCTCTGTATTGATTCCATCTTGATAACTTAAACATGCTCATCTTCCATTCCTTAAAATATAAAAAAGCCTACCAATCTCTTTTTAACATAAGCATTCCAATTTTTGATAGCCTTTTCAACTTCCTATTTAATTTTCAACTAACTGAAACTTTATTTCTATTATTATCATTCAGTTTATATTGCTATCCAAGATCACCAGAGGTTTTGTCACTAAATCTAGTAGTTTCAGTTCCTAACCTTTTGTAGTATTTGGCACTTTTTACTATTTGAAATAATATCTTCTGTCATAACACATACTAACAGTTTGCCTACTTATTTTCTTCCCCTCAATTTGATTGTTCTATTTGTCTTAACTTCTTTTCCTCTTGTTTTAAAATTTATTCTTTATATAGTGTCCAATCTCATTGGATGACTCCAATTATCATGTACATATTGATTACTTCAAAAATCACTCTCACTGACCTGGATCTTTCTCCTAAGTATACAGTTACTATATGTCTAACTGGTTAACACTTCCTCAGATATTGCATAGACAATTCAGATTTTAAAATCCAAACCTGAAATCTTTCCCCAAACCAGTTCTTCTTGCTATGCACATTCATTCTTTCACTCAGCATTTGAGCATCTCCTGTTCATGACTGAACACTGTCCTGATACTGGATACATACTAAGGAACCAAACAGATAGAAGTCAATTCCCTAAAAGTTACAAAATCAATGGTATTTTTTTGAATAAAGCAAAAACTAAAAATCACAGTTCTAGGTCAACCTGCTAATTTTACAGAAAAGGAAACAAACTTATAGAATTAAATGATTTACCCATATTCAGTGATATGCCATAGCAATAAAACTTTTAAAATAAATGGAACTTCACAGATAACATCTTTCTTGTACCGAAAATAACTCACTCCTGCTCCTACTGAATAGAAGTATTTCACAATTATCAATGTGTTATAGTTTGGATCTAACATATTCCCCAAAGTTTCATGTATTTGAAAGGTGATTTGATCATGAGGGTGCTGTACTCATCAGTACATTTATCCACTGAAGAGTTCAGTAGCTGAATGTAGTTAGGAAGTGGGACCTGGCTGGAGATGGGTCACTGGAGAAGTGATCTAGAACAATGTGTTCTTGTCCTCGGCTCTTCCTCTCACTCTGTTTACTGACTGCCATGAGTAAGCAGCTTTCCTGCCATGCCCTTGCATCATGATGTCTTCCTTGAAGCCAGCCAACTGTGGACTGAATGCCCCTAAAATTGTGAGCCAAATTAAACCTCTCCTACTCTCAGTTGTGTCAGGTAGTGTGTCTCAGTGACTAAGACAATGTTTCTCATAAAACATCTGCCACAAATAGTGTTCATCATGCTTACAAGCTAATATTACATATAATTATATTACATAAATTCTAAGTCTGCCTTAGGGACTGAATTTAAATTTCTAGATTTTATTTTAGTTTCTCTTTGCCAAAAATTACCCCAAAAATGCATATAATCCCAGCTACACAGGAGGCTGGGGCAATAGGATCATAAGGCTAAACTGGGCAACTTAGTGAGACACTGTCTCAAATAAAAACTTAAAAGAGCCAGGGATTCAGCTCAGTGGTTCCGCCATCTGCCTCACAAGCACAAGGTCCCGAGTTCAATCCCCAGTACAAAATAAATAAATAAATAAATAAATGCTTTAAAAGGGCTAAGAATGTAACTCAGAGCTCTCCAGGTTCAATCACCAGTACAGAAAAAAAAACAAAAACAAACAAAAAACCCTGGAACAATATAAAAGCTACATTATTTTCATTTCTGTGGTCTGAAAAAGCCTGAGTAATTCTTAAAATTGAATTATTTTAAATACAAAAATGACTACATTAATTTGGATTAATTTGGAAAGGTTTTGAAATAATAGTATACAATAATCTGTCATTTGGAGACACTGTATTTGCAAGTTCATCTATTTGCTTAAATTTATTTAACCCCAAAGTCAATACTTATAGTGCCTTCATAGCCACTTGAGAACATGGGCAAAGCAGCAAAAAAAATTAAGCCACCACATGCATACATTCCTACCAGAAGCCAAAAAAGACAATGTTCTACCTTCTTGTTTTGGTTCTACTACAAAGGGCCTTTCCATATTGTATTTGGTGCTATGCTTTTTATATTTTTGTAAATTTGATGGTGACTTCACTATTTAAAATGTGCCCCAACCACAAGGCTGAAATTTGTCTAGGGCAGTGGTGGTGAACTTTTTAGAGACGAGTGCCCAAACCAACCTCAAACCCACTTATTTATTACAAAGTACCAACACTGCAATTAAACCTGAATACTGAGGTTTTAGTTTAGAAAAAACAACTGTTATCTGATGCTCAGCTGGTGGGGTGACTTAGCTCATGTGCCTGTATGCCTACTGCAGCACACATGCCATAGGTTCGCCACTATTGGTCCAAGATGTCAAAATCCAAGAAAGCTACTATGTGCAAGACACACCAAAAAATTGTGTATTTTCATTCCAGCATGAATTATAGTGCTGATGGTTATAAGTCCAAAAATAATGAATCAACTATATTAAATAAAATGATTTAGAACAGAGACTTACATACAATAATTTATGCACTGAGAAGTGTCCAGAGGCTCACAGGAACTCAATCTTGCATTTCCCCTAGGAGCAATGGTTCAGTACTCAATTTTAGTATTTACAGCAACTTTATAAAACATAACTAACCCATGTAATAAAAATCAACTGCACCTTGAATGAAACATCTTTGTCAATCAAAATTAGCTACCATCTCCCAACTCATAGTATTATTACATGAAAGTACTCAAAAAATACATCTGAGAGTCAAAAAATAGTTGAGAAAATTAAGTGCCAAAGATCTATGGAAAAGACGCCCACCATTCAACAAACATAAACCAATCTTTTTCCATTTGGAATATGTGGAGGCAGGCATTAGAAGCTGAAATACAAAGTCATCAAAGAAGAAAAAATTAACAGCAACAGGAGCAAGGTTCTGTTGGATACAAGGAAGCAGAAGATTGAGTGAATTGTGATGGGCCAGAGCTCAGAGCAGGTCTGCCACCAATGAATGGGGAAGAGGTATCATAACAAATTGGTGAGGTTTTGGTTAGTCTATAAATTTTTTATCCAATTTGGATGACTAATGGGGGGGATTGAGACAGGGTCGCACTATGAAGTGCAGGCTGGCCTCGAACTATGCAGCCCAGGTTGCCTCAGCCTCCTGAGAGCTGGGATTACAGATGTGCACCACCACACCCAGCTTTTGATGGCTAATTTTATATAACTTGGCTAGGTCATGCTACCTAGATATTTGGTCAAACACTATTCTAGATGTTTCTGTGAATACTGAGAGATAGCACTTAAATCAGTATTTTCTGGTAAAGCAGAGTGCCCTCCATAATGTGAATTGGTCTCATCCAAACAATTGAAGGCCTTAAGAAAAAGACTAACTTCTCTTAAGACAGAATCCTGCTAGAAACCTGTTTTCAGATTTGAATTGCAACTCTTTCCTACCTCTCCAGCCTGCCAGCCAAACCTGCAGAATTTGAACTTGGCAGTTTCCACAACTGCCTAAGTCAAATCCTTAAACCAACCTCTACCAGCACACCACCACCACCACCACCCCAACACACACACAATGGATTGCTTCTCTAGAAAAACCTGAAATACCAATGTTATAGCTTGTGTCTAGATGTCCCCACAAAACCTCATGCTTTCACAGGTGAGGCTTTCAGTGGTGGCCTGATCTAGTGTGTGATGCTGGGATTAAGGATGTGTGATTACTAAATTAGTGCACTGATTGGCTTGGCATAGTTCTGAATGTGGATAAAAGGAGGGCCCACCCTGGGTGTGAGTGCTATTCCCCGTAAGAGTGGATATAAGGGACAGAAAGGGCTACTATGACTGCTTGCTGCTTGCTTTGCTACTTCACTACTTTGCTGCCTTCCTGCTTCTGCCTGCCATGAACTGCTTCTCCTCTACAATGCGTCTGCCACACCACCCTGCCTTGAAGCCAGCCAACTATGAACTGAAACCTCTACAAAATGTGAGCTAAATAAACATGTTCTCCTTTAACTTTGGGTTTTGGATATTTTTGTCTCAGCAACAACAAAAAAGTATATAGACAACCAATGTAAATTTGAAATAGAAATGTAAGAATATTAAAGTAATAAAGTATGTTCTCTAAGACCTATAAGTCCAACACTTATATGTCTACTTTTGGTTTGCTGGCCTCATACAAATGTAATAGCTGGCACATCACAGGTATATAGCAGTATTTTTTTTTATTAAATTCTTTTATTGGTACATTGTAGGTATACAACACACTTACATTTCTCATTGGGAATTGTACCTTTACATAATGCATCTTGGCTCTTGTATAGCAGTATTTTTTAAATCAATAAGTCTTAGGAAACATAAAAACAGCTTCTCAACAATAATTTTTATTTATTTACTTGGTTTCAGGCACTATGCTGAGAGTTGCTTTATCTTTGTTCAATGTCTTAATCTCCACATCATCCCTTCAATAGAGCAATTTTAAGTTTCCATTATTGAGGTATGGAAACTGAGACTCAGAGTTGACCTGTGCTGTCGAGAGTCATCCAGGGTGACATTCAAACCTACATGTGATGCTTCAAACCTGAAAGGCAACTGAGAGAAGATAACAAAATCATTAAACTAGGAGAGGTACAAACATAGTATATATGTACTTAACAATCATGCAGTGTAGGAATTTAAAGAAGCAAAGAAGCCAGACATTGTAGCACATGCCTATAATCCCAGTGCTCTGGAAGACTGAGGCAGGAGGATCACAAATTTGAGCCCCACCTGGGCAATTTGGAATTTAAAGTTTTGTTTCAAAATTTTTAAAAAAACAGCAGTAATAAAAGGCTGGGGATATAGCTCAGTATGAAGAGCCTGATTCAATCAGAAGAAAGGGAGGAGAGGAGGGAAGAAGGGAGACACCAGGAGAGATTGGGCTGGGATATACCTCAGTAGTATAGCAGTTACTTGCTATATAGGAGGCCATGGGTTCCTTCCCCAGGCAGCAAAAAAAAAAAAAAAAAAAAGACACACATATGAAATATTTTATGGAATAGCTGTACTAATAAGACATAAAAATTATTTCATTACACTTAAGAATACTACTTTACAGCTAATCTTCTAACCCTTATGACACTAGATACATTCATGACCACGAAATAGTACTTCATGTCACTCCAAGTCAGTAAATCTCTCATAGCAGTTATCATTGTATTTTTCAGAAGTAAATTTTCATCTGTGCAGGCTAGCATGATAGAGCACTTGTCTAGCATGCACTAGGCCTTGGGATCAACCCTAGCACTGCAAGAAAAAAAAGAAGGAAACAATCTGTGATCAAACATATACAGAGCATGAATAAGTGTTTCAATTTTATTTAACATTTAAACAGAACAGTGTTTTTTGACTACACATTTATATAATGCACAGTACTAAAAAAGTGCAAAATATTTATCATAAACATATGGTTTTGAAACTCAATGCCCACAATGAACCCAACTTAAGCACTTCTGCTCATTTAAAGTCACAGTTTCTTCTGAAAGTTTTTTGGACCTCAACTGCTGCTCAACATCTTCCATCTACCATCTTCTGAACTGGTTCAGATTGCTTAGCACATATGCAGCTGGAGTTTAAAAGGTGCTAAAAAACACCACAATTCCAACAGCCATTTCCTGGAAAAGAAGATGAAAAATGTTGGAGTGGCTTCCTGGACCAGTGATTTGCAGCCTAACTGCTTAACGATGTAGCTCATCGGTAGTGCCCCTGCTTAGCATTCGTAAGGGCCTGGGTTCAATTCCCAAATCCAAAAAAAAAGGGCTTTGCAGGATATTTTGTAGAACTTAGAAATACCTGGAAACAGGAGCCTGGTGGGACAAAAAATGCTGGAATTCAATTCATAGGTAACCTAATTGATTTTTAAAGAAAACTTTTTAATAGCTGCCAAATTGACCTTTGCACTCTAGAATATGGACCCTAAGTGCACTTGAATAGCGTAAAGGATGAACGGTGAACAATGGTCCTGCCCTCCGACTTCGACCTCGTGTCCACCAAGAGCAAGCGAGAAGGTCCCAGCCCTCCCTAAGGTCTCCGCAGCCGCCCTGTAGGCCCAACCACGGCGCCCTCACTGGACCCTCCCTGACTCCCCTCCAGAGCCCCAAGCCCAGTCCGCTCCTTCCTCTCCAAGTGTCAGGTCGCCCCACGCCTCAGCCTCACACTTCCTGCGCACCCAGACTGTCCGCCCCGTCGGGTGGGCCCAACTCACAGCAGGGGACGCGTTCCGCTGGTGCCGGGGCTCTGAGTGAGCGAGGTGGCGGCTGGGTTGCAGGCCGACCTGGAGTGCACGGCGGCAGAGCACAGACAGGTGAAGCATGACCCGTCAAGTGAGCGCAAGAGTCGGTCGCACGACGAAGCACACGCCACCAGAGAGGATAGGCAAGGCCTTCAAGCGGGGCAGAAGGGGCGCCAGGAACGCTGGGAAGATGATTTGCGCAGGCGTACTTGTCACGAAGTGGGGTGCGCGCGCTCTCACCTTCCCCCTGCGCAGCCTGGTCACTTCACACCCTTTCCACTCAGCAGCCGTGCTCTGCCCCGCCCCTTCACTTAATGCTGCCTACTCTCCACCCACCCACCCCCAGCACAACTCTCCTGCCCACGCAGACCTTCCTGCCACGTTTGTCCTCACAGCCCCAGCTTCTTATTCTCTGCCAAATGCCATGTGGACCTTGCTTAACCCCTAACCTCACATTCAGAATATCTTCATTTTCTGCTGGGTGGTAAGGGATTCCGTTCCTATACCACTCAACATACCAATGCTTGTCATTGGCAGAATCATACATATCACTTAAATTGTCTATGGGTTAATTACCCTCTTGCTATCTTTGTATTTTGCTTTTTTGTTTTGGCAGTACTGACTGTTGGACCTAGGGGCTTCACAGAGGACTACATCCCCAGCTTTTTTATTTTTTATATTAAGACAAGTTCTAAGTTGCCCAGACTCAAACTTCAGATCCTCCTGCCTCATCCTCCCAGAGTGCTGGGATTACAGTCATGTACCACCGTGGCTTTTGTTTTTTTTTAATTCCCATGCCTGTCAACCATATCCAGGGGCTCATGCACACTAGGCATCCCATCCCTATTGGTTAATTCTGAGCATCAAAAACCAAGAACAAGTATATGTAGTCTGATGATGACCTGAAAATTATTCATGGCAGGGTCATATAGAGTGGAACCAAAGAGATGGTGAAATTATCTGTTACTAACTTGTATCTGTTGAAGGAAAAGTAAAATACATGGTGATTTTTAAATTTAACACTATAATAAACTTCTACTGTACAAAATAATCTAGTTTCTTCCTATTATTTCCAGAACAAATAGTGTTTTAGGATTTATTTATTGTCTTATTTCTGTACTTGATACCTTCCTACTTAGATTCCTACTTCATTTTGCTATAGTACATCCTTAACCAATTCTTTCTGGAAGGGTCTAAGTGATAAATTTTCTCAATCCTTGGAAATAAAACAAATACAAAACTTTATTTTATTCCTCATTAAAGTGCTAATTTGGTTGGTTATAGAACTCTACACTGAAAAGCGTTGTCCTTGGGAATTTTTTTTTTTAGTACCGGGGATCGAAATTGGGAATTTTTTAAAAGATATTGTTTTCTAGAAGCTGATGAACTAATGAGAAGTGTAATGCTAATATAGTTGCCATTCCTTACTTCCCCCTTCCCTCTTCAGAATCTTTGAAGAATTTCTTTTTGTCTTTGGACTTAAAAGTTTCTGCAGGACATAGCTAACCATCAATCTTTTTCATTTGTAATAGATTATCAGTGGGTAAGACCTCTCAATGTAAGTCCTCTCAATGTAAGTCCTAGATCTTTAGCTCTGGGAGATACATAATTTTTTTAAATGTATAACTTTATTATCATTCACTAAACACACACATATACAAAAATTAAAATTATTCAAAGAAAAGCAATCCAAGGGAAAAAACTATAATTATATTCAAATATAATAGAACTCAACCAAAGCAAAACGGAAAAGTGCTTAAACATTTTTCCACATAATTTTTAAAAACATTTCGAGCATTAACAAGACATCAAAGGATGTGATTTGTTTTAGAAAGATTTTCAAAACTAATATTGAACAAATAGTGGTCTGAAAAAAATCCTAATTAGCTAGTAGACTCCACATAGGCCAAATTTTTTTAAATTTAGCTTTCAATACAGTCATGTGACATGTAATGGAAATATAATCTGACAAATATGTTATTAGGTAATTTCATCCGTGTGTATCACAAAGTACCACACAGAGTGCCAACTTCTAAGTGCAAATTGAGAAGGTATACATCAATCATCTGTGATGGCCCCTTGATGTTATCCAAGTACACAGTTAAACATGAGATACATGAGGCTACCACTGGCATAGCAGCACACTGTTTTACAGTAAACTCTTTTATATAAATAGGATTATGCTCTAAAGGATGAAAAGCACAGCATGTTATGACAAGTACCTAAAACAGTAACAGTCATTTACCACACTATCGAGCACTGTGTACTGTAGATAGTTGTATGTGCTTCTTCTGGAAACACACCCTTCTCTCCTTTGATCTCAGTGACTCTTCCTTCCCAACCCACTGATGAGCTCCAGCCTAGTCTCTATCTACATCTCTTCCTATAGTTTTAAACACAATCTATATATGGATTCTTTCCAGATTCCAGCCTGTAACTCTGATCTCTCCCCTTCCCCTCCTGCCGCACCTACCCCTTTGAACCTTTTCTTCCTATCTCAAATTATCAATTATTCATTTTAATCATTTTAATCCTGAATTATACTTTCAGTTTCTCACACTAGAGAAACCAATTGGTATTTACACATGTGTGTCCTATTTATTTCACTTAAGAGGATGGCCTCAATATGCATCCATTTAGCTATAAATGTCTCTAACTTCTCATTCTTTATGGCTGAGTAGTACTCCATTTTATAGGAAAAAAAACCCACATCTTCTTTATCCAGTTTCCAGTTGATGAGCACTTGGGCTGTTTCCAAGCTCTAGCAATTACAAACTGTGCTGTTACAAACATGGGTGCACATACATTGCTGTGGTATGATTCTTTTAATTCTTTTCGGAAGATACCCAGCAGGGGGATAGCTGAGTCAAATGGGACCTCTAAGCCTAGTTCTTTGAGGTATCTCCATGCTGATTTCCACAGTGGTTGCACCAGTCTGCACTCCCACCAACAATGGAGAAGGGTTCCTTTCTCTCCACACCCCCACCAGCATTTGTTATTAGATAATTTCATGATAACAGCCATTCTTTCTGGGATGAAGTGGAATCTCAGCGTTGTTTTCATTTGGATCTCTCCAATGACCAGTGATGTTGAACATTTCCTCATATGTTTATTTGCTGTTTTTACTTCTTTGTCTGAGAAATATCTATTCATTTCAGATGCCCATTTTTGAATTGGGTCTTTGAATTTGGAGGGTCAAATTTTATTTCAGTTCTTTATATATTCTAGATAGTAGTCCTTTGTCTGAGGTACAGCTGCTGAAAATTTTTTCCCACGTTGTGGGTTGTCTCTTCACTCTGTTGGTGGTTTCTCTTGCAGTGCAGAAGCTTTTAATAAGATGAGATCCCAGTTGTTGATTGTTTGTGCTAGTTCCCGTGCTACTGAAGTTTTGTTCATAAAGTCTTTTCCTATGCCAATATCTTCAAGAGTTCTACCTAACTTATCTTCCAGCAAATTTAGTGTTTCTGTCTTAATATTTAGATCTTTAATCCACTTCGATCTTAGTTTAG